ACAGACGCACTTATGCATTTTGTCGATTACTGAATATATTCAAATATACAAAACGAGACTCTCTAACCTTCTCACATCAGAGTGGATAATTGGCAGTTCGCGAAAATATGAGATACCAAATAGCTCTTGATGCTAACTTGGTTTATAAGTCTCCATCTTTTTTTTGGTTTTGATGCTCGTTTCGGCTACTTTCTGTCTCACTCAAACAAGCACCAAAACTCCCGACTGCTTGCATCACAAAACACTAACTTTTCACTGAAGGTGCCAGCAATCATATGAAAATAATTATCTACTCTCGTACAGCAAGTAGATTTGGTTGCATAGCTAAAACCGCATACTCATAAAGAGCGCAGTCTCGTAGACTTACTTATTATCCAGACGGGTCGTAAGTGTAGTGTAGCTCTCAGTTCGTTTTGACTCGTTTGTTGAACTCGATATGAACAATGACTGACTGGAATCAGATGTGACTGCCTTACTAACTAGAATACAGTGATGAGGGCCTGGACATCGGCACCTTTCTAGTCATAAGACCAAGGATAAAGATGAACGCAAAGTCTTGCAGGACGTTTTATCTTCGTCTCACAAATTTCATTTCCATGCTGTATCGACTCCCCAAATTGGGCCAAATCAGAGATTTACGATGGTTTGACTGTCGTAAGAAAGACAGCGAGTGCAGCCGCGACCTGTGTGAAGCTGCTTTTGGTGCAGTAAGCATGTGCTGCATAAATCTCCTTTCAGTATTCCGAAGTTGACCGTGTTCCTACGGCAAAAAGCAGTCAAGACAACAGAGGCTAAGTGTGGGTGCAATGGCTGAGCAATCTATCAAAGAACGTCACACAATTTACCCACAAAGAAACATTAACCAGGCTTTATCAAGCACTGTCTTAGTTATACCGTAGGAGCGAATACAAAAGGCTGCATTTCGATGTAACCATTGCAGTCTAATATTCGCTGGCAGCTCGGATTTTTATGGCGGGCCATGCGCTGATTTACTTCGAGGAGGGATAAAACCGTATAGGCGCAAGGTTCTCCATCTCTTCTCTCCCCCCTCCTCCCCGCGAAATGCAGCTGTGAACTCTCTGCAGCTTTCAGTCGGCTTGCGATGGAGTTCGGCACATTAGCTGTTGGGGCAAGAAAGAATCTACTGACGACCTGCCACACGCATATACGGCAACAGTTAATCCACATGTGGGTTCTAGATAACCGAACAACTTTGTGCTGTGCATCAATGGACTCCTAGCTTTCATCCAGCTCACCTAAGGCATAGCTCCCCACGTCGGGGGAATCACTTATGCGCGTAAGGACTCCCGATAGTACGATCCCACCATAAGAAAAAGCCGATATATGTACGTCAAGCAAATAGCCACACTATAATGAACTTAGTTGATAACGTCGGCCAGCGAAGAAGAAAGGTACTGGGTGAAATATCAATCAACGATACTGAAACTCACACAAGTTGGGCTGTGGCGAGTAAGAGTTGACAAATCAAAAACTTTAAAACTGTTTAGCAATAAAGAATATGGCAAAGAGTTGCCACACCCCCTTTGTGAAAAAAAACTTTACGCAGACATGATGTCAAACACAAAAACAGATAGTTATTATAAGGCAAATACTAGCTCAGATGAGTCGGCGTACTTATTATTGAAAGTTAAGGAACACAACATGTCTTGCGGGCGCAACCAAGAAGCAACCTAACTAATTAGTTCGGAAAATAGTGGCTGATTGTTCGGCTCGCTTTTAAAAATTGTGGGTTATTGCTATTTTTGCAGTCTTTTATACAAACTGTTGCCAGCTTAATAATTCATGTATAATCTTTGAGAATTCTTCTTTAATTGTTTTTTTTTCAGGGTATGATCCTGAAAGAGATAAGGTCTTATTAATGAAGCAGAAAAGAAATAAATCCGTTTACTTTTCTTACACGAATACAAACTCGGTTATACTTCTTCCCAGCCAGCTGCCAATATCGATAAAGCTGATTAATACGACAGCTGACACCACCCAGACTCTTCTGCTGCCATTTTGTTTGCTAAATTCCACTGGAATCATCTACAACTTACTCCAGCGATAATAATATCTATGACATAGTATTGTATTGTGGGCACGAAGTGCATACGAGCACCGGACGGTTCACAGTATTTGTCTCAGCTTCCAGAGCTATATAGGAACCCACTTTCAGGGACACTGAATTAAAAGTATCATATAATCGAATTATCCAATTTTGCGTTGGGGCCGTGTCTGCCGTTTTACAGGCTCGATCGCACGACAGCCTGAAATGCGAGTACGCTGCACTAATGGCCTTTCGGGGGAAACTGCGATGGCCCAAATCTGCTCACCCAAAATGATGCTGGCCGACAACCATACAGAGCGAATAGATTGGATTCCTGAAAGATCTCTGTAAACAGGCTAATCGATGAGTGACTTATGTAATGCGACAGCGCGGCTATTTTTCCAACTGTGGCCGCACACGGTTGCCGTACCGTGGAATCATAACTGGTAAAACAGCATGGTCCTAAACCCAACCAATTTCAGATGTGAATGGATGAAAACGTTCGCGATCCAGGTATTTACACGGATAAGGAAGAAGACTGGTGGAGCACCGGATCGGTTTGTTCATTATCCTGAGCTTTCGAACTCTCACAGGAGTCTATAGTCAGAGATAAGAAACAGCACCAAAAGAGGGGCTAGTTATAGAGTGTGTACACCAATCAACTGTTAAGCGTCATCAGGTCGTGGTGGAAATAAACCACGATGAAAAGGGGGGAGGGAGGGGTGATGCAATTATAGAGATATACCTTGATTAACCGTCAGTTCATCAGGGCGTCAGCAACGAAGATGGGGCAGTTATAGAAGATGTGGACCCAATTAACTGTGACGGACGTCTGGCTGTGATTGTACGTAATTGCGCAAGGGTCTCTACGCCCGTGCCAATTCGACACATTGGTTGACGGAATTCCTGTTCGTGGACCAGGCTTCGAGCAATTCTCTGCTCGTCTTGTTTTCCGCGTGGGCGAGTACCTTGATGGCCGCGAAGTTGAACTCATGGCCTGTTTCATAGGTGTGAACTGCAACTTGTGATAATTCGTCACCTCGTCGCACGGCCAACTTGTGTTCATGTATGCACGACCCGAGCATGCGTTTAGTTTGGCCTGTGTAGTTACAAGGACAGCTTAGGCACGGGATGCAATAACCTACTCAAGATTGTTCATTCGGCGTAAGCAGATCTTTTATTTTCATCACCCTGCTGCACATGGTAGCTTTGGGTCTGTGTGCAATTCCAACAACTAATCCCGCAGCGATACGCTCAGTCGCTTCCGAGACGTCCTTGCTTTATGACAGATCGTGTCATATCCTCGGTGGTTCTTCCGTTTGGGTCCTCCGGGACCGAACGTGTAGGCATCGGTTTTTAAATGCTTTTGGATAACCATTCCGCATAAATTTGTCGCGGATATATCGGGACTCGCGTACCTTTTCCTCCGTACTACTGAAGTGAGTCTGAATCCGTTTAAGGAGCGTTTTTACACAGTTTCGTTTGTGGACAGGCGGATGGTGGCTGTGTAAACTGAGAAGTTGTGCAGTGTTCGTTACCCTCCTGTAAACCGTCGTCTCGATTTCACTGTTGGACGTCCTCTTGATGAGGATATTCCGATGTCTACTCCTCTTTCTCGCCTTCCCGACCTGTGTCCTTTGGCTTAGAAAAACTGCTCTTAAGCCACGG